GAAGGTACTTTTTAGGTATGTTAATAATTGTAATGAAAGAATCGTAAAGTTAATTACTTACTATTTTATATTGTTTCAGACAGTCAAAGATTATAGATATCTTTAAGTCACAAAAAGTGAATAAAAAGTTTCTATTAACTTGTAAATTTAATAAAATAATTTAACAAAACTTTTGTTATTAAATAACAAATTATATAAAAATGTTTTCTATGTCTTTTTTGATAAATCAAAACTTACAGAGAAATATTAAAAAAATGACACCTTTAAAATTTTTTCTAAAATTTGAGTTTTGAGCGTGCTGTATTAATCATGTCATATAAACCACACATTTTATAAATTTCACTTTTAGGGAAAGTTTCCCGGGTGACATTTTTCAAATTAGAAATACGTTATCATATCGTTGTCAATCAATTTCACTTTTATTTAAAATGGCATTAACATCAACTTATTATGTTTTTCAAAATTGATATTGATCTGATTGATTTTTGGATTTTTGTATCGGGTTGGATTGGGTTGAACTTATAATTTTTTCAGATGGGATCAGGGTGACATTTTTTGGTCCGTACAGTATTCTACTGACAACACAAATTTCGCGTGCCAGAAAGGGGAAGAGATATAAACTTTTATCATAGTGCTCTCTCACTCCAGTGAGGAGTCTTATCATAAATTTTATATTGCAATAAATGGACCCCTTGTATAAATGTTTATTTGTGTGTGATAAACCCTCACAGTCAATCTATGCTTAAAACGGACTTCTGGAACGTATGATGAGGAGCCATAGCTTCATCATTTTTTATAATCTAAGGGAGTAATGAAATTGATGCCGTAACAACGAAACTCAATACGAAATGTTTTATTTATTATGTAAATAAGATAATATCTAGTATTATAAATGAATGACCTCAATTTCTTATCAGTTCCAACTAGCAAAAATATAGTGGCCTCAATTATAAATTTCTTAAGCTTGTTTTTATTATTTATGGTTAATTTATAGGTTGAAAATGATTAACAAATGATAATTTCACTATTTTGTTTGCTCTATGAAAATCAATATTATCAATAAATTATAACAGAACATTTATTTCGGATTATTATTTTGTGTTACATAGTTCCTTTGTAATTAATGCGGTAATTAAATACGAAAATTATAGTTTATTGTGATAAATTAAAAAAAAAACAGTAGCACAGTGAAGTTATGGCACAGTATGGACGTGTCTTAGTAGAACAAGTATAGATGATATCTGACAGTGATTAAAATCACTATCAGAGTCATGGAGTGTTTATTGTCAATTATAACTATCAATAGATAAGCTTTCTGTATTGACAGTTAGTGTATTTATAAACTCACAACAATGTACCTTACTATCATTGATAATAATGCTGTGTACCTGCTAATATCGATGTCATAAAAAACCAATCAGCCAACTGTATTTGTAATCCCTAGTGTATTATACATGTATATTAACTCAAATATTTGAAACTTTAATGTTTTATAACTAATAAATGAATAAAGTTATATTACAAATTGAAATGGCATTTACTATTAAAATATAAACTCAAATCGCTTACAAAATTCAAAATATATGTTAATAATAATTAAAAAAAAAGTTTACACCCTTACAAGGCATAAGGGATGAACATAAAATGTATTACATAGCTAATAATTCAAGAATAATATGTAACTAAAGGTAAAAAAAAATTGTTTAAATTATATTTGTTCTGTAAGTAATTGAGTGGATCGTGAAAAAAAATTTAATCTGTATATGTTTAACTAAATACAGAATTCATCTAATGGGAACAATAAAATTTTGGATATTTTTGATTTATATGTTAATTTTATTAAAAATTGCGTGTCAAAATTAAAAGCAAAAATTTTATGTCAAATTTCACCTTAAAAACAAAAAGATTATATCTCACAAAAAGGTAATTCATGATAAACAATTTAAAAATATCAACCTCCCATAGGAGTTAAATTGTGTGTCACTCTGGTTTTATTGTATATATAAGGTATTAGTCAAATTTTATATAAGTAGCTAGCATGTTTATATAAAAAATAATAATCCATAGAGTAAAGATAAAAATGTACCATTTTTTCTATTGCATATATTTTGTGGTATATGGTAGTTATAAACAATTTTTATTTTTAAGATTGACAAACTATCCAAAAGATACAAATTAAATATGAATAGTGAGATTAGTATTATATTTAATATAGTTAGTATGCAGTTAGTATCGAGTAAATTTTAACGAGCAAACAAATAAATAAATAAATATTTATCAGATATGTTTTACTAGAAATAGCAAAATAATCAGAAAGTTTAATTGAATTTAGTAATTTCGTAATTCAATATCATAATATTTAATTATGATAAGTAAAAAAAAGAGTTAGTCACTTAGGAATAAATATATTTTGTCGAACAATAATATCTTTTGATAAATAAGACAATTACAGTAGTATTCTTAAAGAGTGAATTATAATTTTAAAGTATGACAAATTTTTATAATCTATATAATGTATTCAATTTTGTCTATGATTTTGTAACAATTAATAAAACATGTAAGAATGGTTAAAGAATTGATGTACTTCATCCAGTCGTCCATAACTATAAAATTAAATTAATTATTTCAATATTGGACTCTTATTCCATATGGACTTTTACCCCGGTTTACTCTTGATTTATGAATTAATGTCAATTATTATAAATTGTGATGTATAGTTTTTTTTCTTTTTTAGTGCGGTTTGGCCATTTGTTATCAAGTGTTCATATGTATTATTTAAAAAATAAAAATAATAATATTTAAAAATGTATAAAAGTAACAGAAATATATAATGAATAAAATAAAGACTAAAGAACATATTTTTAATACTTTTACTATGTGTCTTTAATTTTTTTAAATAATCCAATTGTTTTTAAAAATATATATAACATTTCAGTAATTTTTTATTTTAGATAAAATAATAATAGAGATTAATTTTAATTAAGTTATTTTACTAAAATGATAATAATTTTCCCTTATTCTTTACTTTTAAGCCAATGTTCATAGAATATTTCCGTAAGTCCTAAGAATTATTTGATACATTAATAAAAAAAATACGAGTTATAAAATAATGTGGTAAAAAATAATAAATTGTTATATTACACTGGTCATAAAACAACTTGTAATTTTATATGTGTGTAATATTTTTATTTTAACTTTATTTACTAAAATATTGTATTACAAAACTTTATACATTTTATTTTTTAAATAATAATGTACTGTCATTTTTGTGAAATATATTAATACAGTTTTACAAACAATTCATTTTTGGTTATTTTGTTACAGGTTATTACAAAATAAAAACAGTATCCATAATTCCTCACAAGCTTTTTTAGTTCTATGCTACTGATACTTAAATAATGAATATCAGAAATAAAACCTTCTTTCAATTGTTTTGTATTGCCTTTGAAGCCATAGAGATATATCAATAGATTCGGTCTCTGCCTTTATTCTGAATTGAAATATGAAAGTTGAAAACATAAATGTTTGGTAATAATAATATTAGTTTTAAGAGCTGAATTCATTTAGAATTCTTGATTGTTCAAATAATATTTGTTTGTAATCACAAGGTTATTTTTGAGAGAGGGTACAAAAAAGTTTTCGTCAAAAACATCTTAAATTCATTGTTTGTCACGTCATTAAGATATTTGTTGGTATAAGCCCTAAAAAAACTGATAAAATTATTTTATATTTAATTTTTTCTATTTGTAATTTATAAAAATAACTTCTTTCAATTCTATTTTAGTATTTAAAAGAAAAAATCCATAAAATATATTATTAAAGACTTGATAAAAAAAAATGTTTAATGATGTATTTAAATTAATCTAAAATTTATGGTGATGTAATAATAATTTAAAATAAAATTAATAACATTTGATATAATTATATAACTTAACGTTAAAAAAATATTCCATAAATGAAATTAATATTTATTGAAAAACTTAATTGGGAAATTAAAATTATTTTTATCAATTGATATAAATTTATTGTTTTTTTACAAATTAGTACAATCGTAATAATTTGTCTGACTAAACAAAATAATAAGTGTTATCAAAAAAAATTATTTAATATATAAACAATAAATTATTTTTATGTTGTATGCTTACACAATTGATTATAATCCTTACAAAAATAATATTTACCCCTTTTATTGAAAAATCATGTTTTAAACATATTATAGAACACATTCAAAAATGTTTCTATAACATTAATATAACGTATATTATATATATACGCTATATGTTATAACACAGTTAAAAAAACATATATAAAAAAAATTCTATCAGGGTTGCACTAGAGAGGAAGGAAATTCTACATTACCAAATGTAACAGGATCGAACTTCAATACCTACGTACTAAGGCACGACCCATTGCTGATTGAACAACATAGGGCGCCTGATATATTTAAATGATAATTTAAGTAAGCTTATATGATCACTTTGGTATGAAAGCATCTTAATTTAGGCCACAAAATTCATCCTTTATGTTATCAAGGTATAAAAAAAATGTACCAGTGGTAACAATAAATAATTTTAGTACTTTAACACTTTCCTTAATGCGGTACAATATACTTTTTACTCTGAGTATTTTTAGCTTTATAATTCTAAAAAAATTGCATTATACTTTAAACAATGTTCAAATTAATATAATATATTTTCACAATTAGGGATTAATACGGTGTTATTCGAGTAAAAGCCTCAAATTAACATATGACAGGATAGTTGACTAAGCTTTATATATCTTGAATACTGAGGGTTCCTAATTAGTTTATATACTCCCAGAGGAACAACCAAGGGTCATTCTAATTAACGTGTGACGGAATCGATTAACAAGGTTTTAAATGATAATAAAATAGTGTTAAACATGATATGTGGATAGAAATGTCATAAGTACTCCAATAGGGAGATGACGACACACCATAATTATTAAATTAATAAGTAATAAAAGAATAAATAACTATAGTGATAAATCATAATTAATATTTTTTATTAGTAATTAATTTTGTTGAATAATTATAATACGTGTAAATGGTAGGACTTGCTGCTCGTTGCATTTCATCTTCCTCTTTGAAGTATTATCATTTTGTATCTGTTTATGTAGTCGGCGAGTCTCTTATAAAAATATATATGCTGACCAAGCTATTAGGCAGAAGAAAATGCGAACACAAATGTGATCGTATCAGAATCCAATTACTAACGTTGAACTTGTATAAATGTATTTAAGTTTTGTAATACAATGTGGGTAAACAAGTAGAGATAATAATTAGTATTTCAATGTGCTTACGTTCTTTGATGAAATTAATGACCATAATAATTGCTGAATATCCGACAAAAATGGCTAACGCAATAAATTATGTTCAGTGACAACATTGTTAACCTAATAAATTTAATTACTGTTATTTCTCATTTAGGTATTTTGTTGTTATTATTATTATTTGTAAATTGCTTACTATTAAAATATGAAAAGTTAAATCGTACTAATTTAAAAAAGGAAAGTTGTTTTTCATTTTTATAGGCCGTGTTTTATTTCTTCCACGTTTGTTGGTTTTAGAATCAGTCCATATGAGAAAGTAGTAGAATATTTCAACAATACTCAACAGGCTGACTCCCAAGAATAAAGCCAAAGTTCCTCCAAATGATACTAAATTTTTTCTTCATTAATATTAAAAAAAAAAGATAAATAATTTATTTACCAATTAGATCCATTCTAGATCGAACAACATTTCTTTTAAGTCTTTCATTTGGAAGTCTATCCAAAGCGATTACGACCTTGGAACCATAATTACCCTCTTCATTATTTGGATCATCGCTCAATCTTCAATAAGAAAATATTAAAATTAAAATTTTTAAGGAAAGATGAATTGGAAAAAAATTAATTGAATTAAAAATGAAATTTTATTTTATTTTTGAAAAATTATAAATAAACTTCTTAGTTTCTATAGCTAAATAAATAACCTCAAAAGTTTGAGTTTTAGCTGAAATATTCATCGAAATGTTAAAAGAAATTAAGGAATAGTATGTATAGTGAAATTATTTGAACTGCAATATTATGAAAACTTAAAAAAAAATTATCATTAAATAATTTTATGTTTATTAAATTAATGAAAATTTGTGAATACAATATTTGATCACTATTAGTAAGTGAAAAAATACAAACTCACGATCCAACTTCTGTAGATAAAACATTATATTCTGGTTCAGTACAGCTAGATATACAATCACAGACAAGTCCTAGTTTGTTGAAATCACTAGTTTTTAGTGCTCTAAATAATTCTGAAAATTGAAAATATGAATACGTATGTAAAAAATTATAAATATGTTTGAAATTAAGCACTATAGATAGAGATGAAATTGATTTCGTACAATTTTTATTTAGTGGTAAATTTAACTATAAAGCTTTATGTTTATTTTACAACAGTTGGAAGTTACTTCTTTCTACTGTAACTAAAATCTTAGTAAATTTCCCTAAAAGAAAATACCTAAAGCATTAACGATTCCCGCGTATCTGTCAAATATTAACAAATTTTATAAAAGTAGACTGAAAAAGATTTAAAAGACGGATAAAAGGCCACTTTTTAATAAATTTTTTTTAAATAAAAATTAAGTTGAATCCTTTGATTATTAAAGCAAGGGAATGTAAACTTTGAAAATCGATTAAAATAATAACTCAAAGAAGCTAAAATACTTGTAAAAGTAAATATCGCTGTTTTTATTAACAGATTAAATTTAATTAAATATCAAAATAAATATTTTTTGTTTTTTATACTGACCTGCGTGTTTAGTTATACATCCTAGTCCTTCAACTTCGCATATTGGTGTTCCAGCTAAATAATTCAATTAAGTAAATTTGTATAAGCATTGTGACTTATCAAAGATAAATGTATGATGATCGGGTTAAAATATACAATAAAAAATATCCAGATATTAAAAAAAAAAACAGTGTGCGTTTAGAGTACGTGTAAATGAAGTAAAACTTCTTTCAGAGTCAATCAACTGATAGAATTTTAGGTTTGTATTAGAATAAGATAAAAAATATACCTAAATTTTATTTTTATTTGAAATTAATTTAATTTGTTATTATTATTATTAATTTTTTATTTTATTGTCACGAAAATTATAATGGGCTTTTATACGAACATTACAAAAAATTTAAACATAAAAATTACTCACGAATTCTTAAATAGTGTGGAGTGCAATTGCATAGATCTAGTTGTGCATGAGCCCTACAATTGACAATACATGCTGAATTACTGTAAACACTGTAAACGTCTAAATCATTTTCATCAGGAAATCGACAATTTCTCTGAGCAATGTCAACATCTTTTAATATTGGATCGTTTTCTATTTCTTTTACCTGCAACGCGAAACCTTTAAGACTGAAATAAAAACTAGATACTTCAGAATTCCGTAAACTAATTTGAAAAAGTAAATAAACCGACTGTTCAACAAATCATTGAGGGTGTTACATAAAATAAAGCTGAGATATTGTTAAATTTTATATTTAGTTTAGTCCTGAACATGAAACAACTAAAAACGATGGTTAATTGTAATTTGAATGATCTCAATTGATTTTTACTTGCCTGATATGTTAAAAGAAACGATACACCCCAGCTGAGTACAAACTTCTCTTCTTCTGGATGATTGACGTATGGTATGTCTTCCGGCGCATGAATATACAGCTGAAGAGCGAATATAAAAACTAAAGTTTATATTTATTTTCAACTCTAAAAAATTACTTTTATAGATTCAAATGCAGTAAATGAAAGTCTTCCTGGTCCTAGTTCTTTGTTTGATATCATTTTCAGTTTTTCTTCATTGCGCCTTTAAAGTATTAACATGTACGTTATTCTAAACAACAATTATTAAGTAAACAAACCTACTTGACAGTATGTAAAGAATTTATCGTGAAACACACGCCATTTTCCGTAGTTATTGGTAAAAACTGTTCACAACACTCGAACGTTTCGTTGTTCCAAATGCAATTTCCTATTAGGTCTTTGCAATTTGCTCGAATCTAAATTTTAAAACTCTTTTATGGAAGTGAATAAATGACTCAAAAATATATTGATTATAAAAAATAAACATTATTGTAATTTATTTCTAGAAATCGGAATCTATAATTTAAATTCAGTTTTTCTTTTAAAGCTTAAACATTTTTTTACTTCACGTATTATGGTTGCAAAATCTGTTGAGCAATTCACCGATTCTTTCAGGCAGTGAGTGACACACGAGTAACAAGCGCCATCGTAGAAAGCAATATCTCTCAGATAAAAATCTACACTTGAGTCTCGGTTTGATCCAAACAGTCTATGCATTAAAATAATAATAACTACAAATACCCAAATATCTTAGCGTACCTATCATTCCTGTTATTAAAATATCATATATTTAGTTTAAGTAGTTTGAATCTTATATTTTTCTGGTAATTAAAAATAAAATTATAAGTAAATAATGCATTAATGTTTACAATGTTATCGATTTGACTTGTACTGGAAATTTGTTTCGTTTCTTTTAAACAAATATTTGATTTTGATATCCAATTATTAAAATAATCAACTCATTACTATTCCATAATTTAATGATAATCACCCGTGTCTTCATGTGCGTTCGATGATTTAATAATGTTGGTATATTGCAATCAAATAATCAATGATTTATAATAAAAATCTAAAAGATATTAGACTTTGCAATTTAAGAATAAAGCGTTTAAGCGGATAAACGGAAATTATGAGTTCTTAGTCTTAGAAGACAGAACATTAGCACTTGGCAATCCATTTGGATACTTTAATGGTGCTGAAAAGATTATGCTGTAAAAACAGATATGATTTCATGTAATTTAAATGTAATTGATCAATTGTAGCTAACATTTAAAACAAAAAACATATTTAAAATATTAATTAAAAACTAAAATATTTTTTTAAATTATTAATTACATACTTAGTGGCTGAATCATATAATCTATCTGGTGATTCTTGTTCGCATACTGACAATGAAAGAAAACTAGTATTCCAATGTAAATAAGTTGTGTCTGACACAAAACTAACCGCATTATGTTTATAAGCGTACCAAGTAGCGTCCAAGTATTGCCAAGTAGCAAAGCCTGATATCAAACACGTTAATATCCAAAATATTCTAACACAAAATACAAAATTACTATAATAATAATAAAATAAATAAATTATAAAATGTGTAATTCGTCCAAAATTTATAGTTTTCATTACTGAAACTAACCAATAGCTTAAAATTATGTACTTCTATAAATTTTATTAATTTTTTCAGAAATCATAAAAAATAACAATATATAAATCAATTTCATAAACTGTTCAAATAAGTAAGAATTGTTTTACTTTAGGTTGTTTTAAGTGTAATGATTTCTAACATTTATTAATACAACATATTTTTCTTTTGCATTTTTTGATTACATTTTAACAAAATTTTTCTTCTTAAATGTTATTATTATAATGTTTCGCTTTTCTACTGAAAATACCCACTCATTGTAGCTTATAGCAACACATTTTTTTTTTGTTTTGTAATAAGTGAATAGCATTCGGCTAATCTCACTCGAATAAAAAGAAATACAAAATTACAAGTTATTACTTCCGTCTGAAAAGAAAATTTCTTTGAAGTCTTTACCTCAATAGTAAAAATGTGTTGTTATAAAAAAAAATAAAAATAGCAAGTCATAAATTGTAGTATTATTGACATTTTTGTACGATATAAGATTCATTTCCAAATTAAATATTAGAAAAATAATTCATTAAGACTGAGGGTGATATTTATAGTTGATTGTTATGAATAAGTTTTGCTTGAACTATTTTTAAGCATGTTATTTAGATAGCTTAAGTACATATTATTCATAAAAATTAACAATAAACATGACTTTAAGTGTAACGGCTTTACTTAAAAAAATATAAAAGATAATATGAAAAAAATACCTAAAATGTAGCGCAAAAACGTTACTTTCCGATTTTATAATTGCAGACATTGTTGTATAGGACCAACGTATATATCTATATACAATATATATATAGAGAGAGATATTTTATTAAGCAACATTAACTATGCCCTGTAGCTAAGCGTTGTGTTTACGTTGGTTAAGATATATTTACCTTTCGGTCCAGTGTCGCTTTTCGTCCGCAATATAATTAAATCCATGAATTGTGCTATTCTTGAAGTACGTCCATATTCTACTCATGACTAAACAGCTTTAATTTGACCAAATAAATAATTGACTTGGCTACATTACGTATTATCGCAGTTTTTTATCGAATTCGCAAAAGCTTTCAACAATAATTACAATCCTTTATATAATTATACGTGCATGATGACATTATGACAATTGTGAATTTAAAAACTTTGCACAGTATTTGATTACTAATAGCAAAATTTATTTGGAATTTTTTTACTATTTCTAGCTTTCCAAAAGCCACAATTTCTACAATCGGTAAAAGTTTACATTCTGAGTAATTATTTTTAAGAGGTAATATTTTATTGTTTTTTTTATTGATTTTCTGTCAGTAAATAAAATAATTCTTTTATTTTCCTTTGTTAAAACTCATACATGTTTGATATTGTTAAGGTGAATTGATCACTATATATTAAACTGATTTATTATAATTTGTTGACCAATATCTTTGTGATGGACGTGATTTTTCTTTTGTTTTAATTTTATAGTAGGTGGTTTAGAATATATTTATTTTTAAATTGTATAGAATATGAACCTTATGAACATTTAAGTTTTTTTACGGCATTAAGTATAATAAATTTATGTCATGATTTTAGCGAAGACTAAACACACTTAAAAAAATTGACTTTATATTATTTGCCTAAATTTTTATTCCAACACATACGAAAAAAGTTATTTCATAGAAATATGTTAATATAAAATTGATATTTTTTATAGCTAAAAAAACACATTTCAAATATATAATGTCATTGTGTTTGATATTGAATATAATAAATGTAACTCTATTAGATGGCTTTCAATTGTAATGGACAAGCTGAAAAATCTATAAAAAAAAAACATTACAAATGGGGAAACCGGGGCTAGTTGACACACTTTTTATATATAATGCTTTTATTTTAATAATATTTTCGATGACAAGTGAAACTTTACAGATACCTTTAAAAAGATAAAGACTTTATTGTGACGAAATTGTTATATTTTAATAACAATAACTACAAAACAATTAAGGTAAATAATTATTTACCTTATTTAGTTTTTAGATAAAAACGTTAAAAATAAATATTTGTCTATTAAACCGGCAACAGGACAAGTTGATATAATACTGAATATAATTATAGTACGGATGAAAAATTTATTTATGAGTAAAATATTACTTAGATAAATAACAAATTTTAGTATATAAAATTAGTAAATTTATATTGTTAGGATCTAGATTAAAATTATTATATTAATTTTTTTTTTTTTATTAAAAATGTAATTATTTAACAATTTATTGAATAAAGCAATATTGATGTTTATTAATTATGTCTTTAAATTTTTTTATTTAAGTTTACTTCCATTAAAAATTAAGTTTTAGGATTAGGCTTAAAATGTAAGACTAAATATATATTATTAATATTGAAGTTTTGAGGTTAAGCTACGCATCAATTTTAAGTGATCAATTAATGGTTTAACTTACATCATTTATTTGTTTTTTGTCAATTTAACTTTTTGATAATAATAATATTTCAATAATAAATTATATCTTAAATTTTTGAAAATATACCGAGGACTTCTTAAAACGTAAATAAAATAGAACAATCAGACTTTGTCAGATTAAAATTTGTTGATAAAAAATTGATCTGTGTCAACTAACTCCACTCTGTTTATAGTAGATAAAACATTTTTTTTAGCACTTATTTAACATGCAATTTTGGATTACTCTTGCGTAGGTTATAATAGAATACAAAGTTAATTGTACCATTTATTCATTTTTGGGACCCAATTTTAATTATATAATTATTTATTAATCATAATTTATTTCACTTTGAAGTGAATAAGGCAAATTCAATAGAGTTAAAGTTAATTGAAAATATGTCGTAACTGTCGAACAAATCAATATTTTAAAATAGGTCGGCAAAATCTTCACGCGCAATTTAGTGACATTACATTACATTTCATCTCAAGATGTTAAGTTAATGATAAATAAAACTTGCTTATTTCCGTCTATTTTCCGTTATAGCTCCTAGCACACCCAGAAAAAATAGGTCCTTTACGCAAATATCTATTTATGACACTTGAGAGATATCTTGAGTTGGGTTATTTTTCAATTTTACAATAAAAAAGTTCATTTAAAGTATTTGACATTTAAAATATTTTTAATGGTGGTACTTAACTAAGTATTTATTTTTTAACAAAGGAACTTTTGATTATTATTTCGAGTTCATTAAAAACGCTTTTATTAGTGCGTTTTTAAATAAAATTTCTATCTATTAAGTTATAATTTTATACTACGAATCTTACTACGGTATTTATTTAAAGTAATATTATTCATCAACAACAGCCTTGTTAACATTTTTAATGAATCTTTTTCAATAATTTGGCAACTACGTTATATGTGAAATTCTTTATTAATTTTCATTATTGAATTTCATGTTCCACTGTTATAATTAAAATAAGATTAAGGCTTTATTAAATTAGAATTATTTTAATTGAAAACAAATGAAGTTTCATTTATATTTTTGGTTTATAAATTTACTTAAGAAAATATTATGTTCTAGTTATATAGGTGTTCAGTAAGTAAAGAAACGGGTTTCTATTGTTCTCATGTTTGCAAACAAGTGACCCTTATTTACTGAATACTCTGTATATAAAAAAACTTTAAAAATAACGAAAGTAAAAATTAAACATTTAAATATAGTAAAGCTTCGATGCATAAAAGTAATTGTATAAACATTGTGTAGCATTTAATTTTTTAAAAATTATTTTAAAATTTATCTTGTGAGTTCTTAATTGCAATTGGATCCAACACGAATTACTTTTTAAATTTTCATTGACTGCAACGTAAATTATTGAAGAAAACCAATCGATCTAAACCTACTTATTCATATTCCGTGAGTTTAATTTTCGTAAAACAGTTTAGAAATTCATAAATGAATCTTTCATTAGTCTTTCACAACATACAAAAGAAAAATTAGTCCTTACTATTTAACTGCATTACATTTTTTACTTAATTTTTTTTTATTATTATAAATTAATATATTTAAAAATTAAATGCCATTAAACTTTTAAAAATTAAATTAATATTTTGACTTATTACGTTAATTATTGAAATTTTAAATAGTATTCGTTTAAAAAAATTATAATTCTTTTTTTTCAGAAGTTAATAGTATTCTATGTTCTATAATTTAAAAAAAATGTTGGTTCTATCTTCCCTTTCTCTCTTAAAAATATTATGAACTTAAGTTTTTTAAATTAAAATGTATAGATTGTTTAAAAAGTCAGGAAACTTTTAAATTGTTACAAACAATATAAACAACAGAAACCCGTTTCCTTACTTACTGAACAACCATATATATAAATGTTTAATTAGCTTAAAAATAATAAAGTGACTAGTCAATAATAATTTTAAGCCAGAATTTTAAAAAATATTAGCACTTATACTTGGACAGGAGGAGAAGAGAGGTTTATAAAAATAGATATAAAATAAAATAGACGCACGTTTCATTTCCAATTATGATAATGTAGAATTAATGATTTCTGAAATTCTGGTTCAAAAGTGACCGGTTTCTGGATGGTTAAATGACTGGTTATACTCATAATTAGATCTTTTCCTTATATTATATGGATTACCAATAAATGTTTCTATTAAAAAAACTTTAACTAATATTATTTTTAAGGAGAGAGGGAGAAACGATTAGACTATTTTTTTTTGTTTTTTGAAAATTATAGAACATATGATACCATTAATTACTGAAAAGAAAAATATTATATAATGTTTATACTATTAAAGATATTGCATGAGGCATAGTTAATCAATCACCCTGTATTGATAATATTGAAATGTATATGATACTAGTATTTCATCTAACATATCAAGACAAAAATTCGAATTCGATTAGTTAGAGAGTTTGTGTGAGCTGTATTGTAGTGACCGGTGTCAGAATCAGCCGATGATCGATTATAATATAATGAGTTTACTTTTTCAGCAAAACGGGTTTTCAAAGACATTAACTTTATTGTCAACTTGAAGCGCTCTGACTGATAACAAAGACTTCAAGAGTTGAATAGCAAATTGCATAAGAAAATAATCATAGAAAAAAAGGTTTAATGGATTTATTTTATATTGTATAAAGCAATCGAATAAAGGATTTACTATTCAGTAGCTCTATTGTAATGAAGTTTATTCCTACAAGTATTGATAAGTTAAAATAAAAATATTTAATGCATTAAAGTTTTTTTAGCAAAATAATAGATGTATTCAAAACGCGACTATTGACTTAATATTAGTTATAGTAATGTAAGAAGAAAAATGTATTTAATAATTAATAAGATATTTACCATGAGATCACTGTAGGCAAAATTTGGATTTTGAAATAAATATGAAAGTGTTTGGTATAAAAACGCATAGACCGAAAAATGTTTTATAGAAAATCTTATTATATACTTAAACCAAACAGTAAAAAGAAATATTAAATTACGTAATTATTTATGTAAGAGTTTCAAGCAAAAGGTATAATTTAATTAATTTTAAATACAAAAATAAGTAATTAAATATTAGTTGTTACATAACTGGTCAGACTGTTATCATTGTTGATAATATATACTTTTGTGTCTCGTGTATCTCATATACACTGTCTTATGTATAACTATTATTAATTGTAATATCATGTCTAATTAACATAATATAATTATCTTTTCATCTGTTCACATCTTATTATAGTTTAATTAAACAATAATATAACATGGTGTCAGGTGTTATCGAACTTTAAATATTTTGGTAACAAGTCATACAATGTCAAAAAGTCGTAAAGTCACTTTAGAAGAAGAAAAAGAAGAAATGTCTACTGGTTTAACTGGGAATATTCAACCACTATCTTTAGATGGTAATTTATCATTAAATTGGTCCGAATGGATACAAGAGTTTAATATATATTTGTCAGCTACTGGCTATGATTCTCTTAGCGAGCAGAGAAAAGTATCTATTTTTCTACACTTTATTGGAAAACAGTCACTTAAAATATTCAATTCATTTAATATTGATATTAATAAAGCAAAATTAGAAGAAGTTATAATTTTATTCTCTAATTACTTCATTCCTAAAAAGAATGTCACCATTGAGCGACATAAATTTTTTACTCGCTTACAATCAGTTGATGAAAGTATTAGTGAATATGTTGCTGATTTAAAAAACAGAAGCATGTCATGTGAATTTGATAATCTTCGAGAAAGTCTAATTAAAGATGTGTTGATTTTTGGTCTGCATAATAAATGGCAACAAATAAAACAAAATTTATTGAAAGAAGATGGATTAACATTAGACAGAGCAATGGAAATTTGTACTTCAATAGAATTATCAAAACAGCATATGGAAGATTTGGTTGTTGGTTCAAAAGAGGAGAATGTTTTAGCAATACAGGCAAGGAGAGAGTCAAATCAAAAAAGGTCAGATAACAGAAACCAAAGAAAGTCATCACAATCACTAACAAGGTACACTAACTTTAAAAATACTTCTAATGTTCAAAATAACAATACTTGTACACGTTGTGGTCAAAAACATAAATATAAATGTCCTGCCATAGGTGTTAAATGCAATACATGTAATCGTTTTAATCATTTTGCTAAATATTGTAAATCAAAGGCTGTTAGAACTGTTATTGAGTCTCCTACTGATAACTTTTTTATAGGTACTATTAATACTAATGTAAATACTGTTAATAATAATGTTGAAAACAATTTAGTTTGGTTAGTTGATTTGTATATAAATAATGAGATTTTAAAATGTCAAATTGACACTGGTGCTCAGGTTAATATTATATCAATAAATAATTTTTTGAAACTTAACTTAAAAGAGTCATTGATTAATAAAAATATTAAAGTTAAATTGATGTCCATACATTCTAAAGTAATACCAGCTGTGGGTAGCTGTAATATTAAATGTGGGTACAAAAATAAATTTGAAGATTTAGTTTTTTATATAGTAAATTTTGATTGTACTACTATTTTAGGTCTACCAACTTGTAGTAAATTAAATTTAATTCAACGAATTAATTATCTAAGTGATAGTGAAAATTTTACATTAGTTAGTTATAAGGATATTTTTGAAGGTTTAGGTAGTCTGCCTATTAAATGTCATATCCATGTTGATCCTAGTGTACAACCAATTATAGATGCACCTCGCAAAATTCCTTTTTCTTTGTATAGTCAACTTAGTGAAGAACTAGAGATAATGTGTAATAATAAAGTTATTGAAAAAGTTACAAAACCTACTTCATGGGTGAGCTCTATTGTCTTAGTAGTTAAAAAGAATAAAAAATTAAGGATATGTCTAGATCCAAGAAATCTTAACAAAGCAATTAAAAGGTCACATTATCCACTTCCTAATTTTGAAGTAATAAAAACACAACTGTCTCAAGCAAATTTCTTTTCTACTCTTGATGCAAATTCTGGTTTTTGGATGATACCTCTAGATGAAGAAAGTTCTAATCTTTGTACATTCAATACTCCTTTTGGTCGTTATAAATTTTGTAGATTACCTTATGGTCTAAATTGTGCGCCTGAAATATTTCACAGAATAATGACAGAAATGTTTTCGGATATAGAGGGTGCTATTGTGTATATTGATGATATTATTGTCATGGGTTCTACTAAAGAAGAACATGATGAACGTCTTAAAAAAGTGTTTGGAAGGGCTAGGGAAATGAATTTAAAATTTAATAAAAATAAATGTAAATTTGGAGTTACAGAAGTTAAATTTTTGGGTCATGTCTTTAATAATCAAGGTGTTTCACCAGATCCTGATAAAATAAAAGCAATTATTAATATGTCTAGTCCTAATTCTGTAAAAGAGTTACAGCGTTTTTTGGGAATGTTGAATTATTTAAGTTCCTATATTCCTAATTTAGCAGATGAAACTGCAAGTCTACGCTCTTTACTTAAAAAAGATACAACTTGGCTTTGGGATGAAAATTATGAAACTATTTTTAAAAAGGTAAAGCAGTGTATTACTACACCACCTGTTTTGGCTTATTTCAATCCGTCATTACCAATTAAACTATCCGTTGATGCTTCACAATTTGCAGTAGGTGCAGTAATTATGCAAAGTAATAAACCTTGTGCTTATGCTTCACAGTCACTTAATATGACACAACAGAACTATGCACAAATTGAGAAGGAGCTGTATGCTATTGTCTTTGGGTGTCAACGATTTCACCAATATTTATATGGACAAACCGTTCAAGTGGAAACTGATCACAAACCATTAGTTACACTTTTTAATAAACCTTTACATTCAGTTCCAATCAGACTTCAAAGAATGATGTTGAAAATTCAATCTTATGATTTGAAGGTAGATTACATTCCAGGAAAACAATTAGTTTTAGCAGACACTTTGTCTAGAGCGCCATTACATGATGTTGATACAAATGATCTTGAAGAAGAACTAGTCGCACATGTAAAATCATTCACAGAAAATCTAGCTATAGAAGAAACACAACTTGAAAAAATTAAGAAAGAAACTGCAAATGATTTAGTTTTAAAAAAGATTATCCAAGTATATTTAACAGGTTGGCCTACCAACAAAAACTTAGTTGAAGATTGTCTTAAACCTTATTGGTGTTATAGGGATGAAATTAATGTCATTGATAATCTAGTTTTTAAAGGTCATTGTCTTGTTATTCCACATAGTCTAAGGTCACAAATGTTAAACTTAATTCATGAAGGTCATATGGGTATTGAAAGATGTAGAAATCAAATTAAAGATGTTCTTTTTTGGCCAAATATAACTAATGATATTAAAAATATTGTTGAAAGTTGTGAAATTTGTATGAAATATCATAAAGGTAATAAAAGAGAACCGATGATAAGTCACCCGATACCTGATTTACCATGGCAAAAATTAGGTGTAGATTTTTTCCATTATAATAATAAAACATACTTATTGGTAGTTGACTATTTTTCTAAATATGTAGAAGTAACTCTACTTGTTAATGGATCTTATGCAAAAGTAGTAATTAGTCAACTTAAAACTATTTTTGCTAGATTTGGTATACCATTGGAATTAATATCAGATAACGGACCACCATATAACTCACAAGAGTTTAAATGTTTTACTAGTGACTGGGGTATTAAACACATAACGACTAGTCCTAATTATCCACAGTCTAATGGATTAGCTGAAAGAAGCATACAAACGGTAAAGAAATTACTGAAAAAAGCAATGGATTCCGGAAAAGATCCTCATATTGCTTTATTACAATACAGAAATACTCCAAAAGGTAAATTGTGTTCTCCAGCACAACTGTTAATGTCTAGAAATCTAAGAACTAAAATTCCTGTCACTAATTCTTTTCTTAAACCTAAACTTGTTAACACTGATATATATAAAAATTTAATTTTTAATAAAAATAAAAATTCAAAATATTATTATAATAAGAAATCTAAACAGTTAAGTGATTTAGTAATTAATGATAACATATTATTTAAACTTAAATCTGATAGTGATTGGTCACCTGGTAAAATAATTAAAATTTGTAATGAACCCAGGTCTTACATTATACAAAATGATATTGGGCAAAAATATAGAAGAAATAGGAAACACATTATTAAATCTGCCATTAAACACAATGATTATTTATTAGATAATAATGTTAAAACTAATAAAGAAAATAATATTTTTAATAAGGATCTCAATACTACAGTGAATAGACAGCCTGAGATTAATAGGTATGGTAGAAAAATCGTAAAACCTAAGAGATATTTGTAGTATTTGTACTATCATTTAATTAATTATTTAAATTGTTATTATATCCTATTATTGTATATATTATATTTGTTGTATTTGTATACTTGATTGTTAATATAACAGATTTTAAAAAAAAAAGGAGCATGTTACATAACTGGTCAGACTGTTATCATTGTTGATAATATATACTTTTGTGTCTCGTGTATCTCATATACACTGTCTTATGTATAACTATTATTAATTGTAATATCATGTCTAATTAACATAATATAATTATCTTTTCATCTGTTCACATCTTATTATAGTTTAATTAAACAATAATATAACATTAGTTATCAACGATAAGAACCATAAAAGTTTTAAAATTTGATATTTTAAGCTAGTCATTGTTCAAAAAATCTGCTCTAAAATTAAAATCAAAATAAGAAAACAGAAAAAAAGAAAAAATTTACTTTTCTATTTTTTGCGCTGAAATTAAATCTATAGTTAGATTTTTACTGAAAATCAATTAAAAGTCTCGGGAATCAACTCGCGGACACCGATCTATACTTATCCCAACTGATGCATCCTCACTATTATGCTCCCGTTTTAGTGGACATCTGGTCCACTAGGTCTTTGCTAAAAGCGTTCTTTACCAAACATTACGTTAGCTTTAATTTAAGAGTTTTATGTATTTTGTGTCAGTATTCTGGAATATTTTCATAAGTTAAATTGAAAAAGTTAATTTTTGGTGGAAAAGTTACCTATTTAAATCTCTTCTATGAGCAGAAAATGTTCAAATTTCAAAAACATGGTATTAACATGGTTACATGGGTCAATAAACAAATATATTGTTATCAATTAATTAAATAAATAACAAATATATCATACTGAATCATTGATATTCATACCGAGTTCAAGATATTGATATTGTTGTTCGTTAATGTTTTTATCACGTTTTTTTTGTCGCGTTATTAACGCAATAATTGATAATTTTATAATTACTATTTATAGTAAATTTATCAATAAAGCTCAATATTTTTTTGCATTTTTATCGTAATAGATCACTTAAATAGAAATCGTAGTAATTATTTCGTTAAGGCCATCAATATACAAATTGTCTAAAGCACAACAGCAATTTAATTATTTGAACATTCCAGAAAATCATTTTATGTTTTTCTTTTTAAAGAATTATTCAAAATTTGCTTATTTAGAACATTTTTATCAGTTTTACTTTGGCTGTGATCAGTATTACTCTCTACTATTTTATTTGAAGGAGATAATAATTTCAAAGAACGCTTACAATTTTTTATACAGAAAAGCCATCTCTGTACATCATATATAAGAGTTTTGTGAAAACGAAATTTGAAACCTTAATAGATAATAAGTGGCTTCGATTTTTCACTACAAATTCCATTGTAGATGAATTTAGACTGACAGTATAAATGTAAAATTCTATACTATAATATAATGATTTGAGTATCTTAAAAAACTTAAAATTAAAATGAAGGTTATTTACCATTACTATAATTACAAATGCGACAATTACTCAGGTCTCAATTTATCAGAGGATATTCAAAATTTAAAAATGTATAAAAAAAAAAATGCAAAAAAACATTAAGCTTTTATGATAANAGAGGATATTCAAAATTTAAAAATGTATAAAAAAAAATTGAACTTTTTCAACTTATTTTTTGAAATACTGACACTTTTATATATATATAATATATATACTAGATTAAAGCTTTTATAACATACTTTTATATGAAAAAAAAAATTCGAACAGTATTTTGTTTTCATGGTGAAATCGGACATATACGTCGGATATATATCGGAGCTATACGGTAAAATTGATTGTACCTGTTGACTAATTATTTTACACTGAAGACATAACTTTCCGTCCGTCTAAGCATAAATCGTCCATAATTTCAAAGAACGTTTAACTATTTTAAAAACGATAAATTACGTTTGCTAATAGGCTTATTTGTTTTTTCTTTTAGCGGTGCTTTTCTCGCGTTTTTTTTTTTAGGTAAATATGATGTTGTCTCTGCTCTAGACGACTGCGAACTACGTATTGTCCGACGAACACTTGAATATATATTATTAAACTTAAGAGCCATGGTTCTATGTACGAATGTGAAGGCGGAGAGTTAAAGTTTCCCCTCTCAAATCAACTATTTTACCAGATTGAGACCGTAATGTAACTTCAGTGTTGTATACGGTGGTTGTACTTAGCGGATAATAAACTAACGATTTAGGCACTTCTATAATTTTGTATGCTGCCGGAACAGAAGGAAAAAATGCATGGATCACTTTGCTTGATTGTCCATTATCATATGAACCAGTCGCTATATTACACTTATTATTACATATATACTGTTAACTTGTTGGGTTGGGTTTGGTTACCATCTGTTGCTAGTAATAGATGAGAATTAACGCTATCTGTGAATAGTATAAATGTAAAACATGTATATTATCTCAAAAATTTGAAAGTGTAATATTTTATATCTAATAAATATATAAAGCTATGTTAAGAATTTAAATGACATTTACTATTAAAATATAAACTCAAACATAATGTATAACTAAAGATAACCAAAAATAAAAATGTTTAAATTATATTTATTCTGTAAGTAATTGAGTGGGTTATAATGAATAACTTATCTAGTATATATTTAACTAAATACGTAGTGTTCATCTAAAATTTAGATTCTAAAGGGAACAATAAAATTTTGGATATTTTTGGGTTTATATGTTAATTTTATGAAAAATTGGGTGTCAAAATTAAAAGCAAAAATTTTATTTACTTTATAAAAAAGTTTACATATCTAATTAATCAAGAATAATATGCAACTAAAGGTAATCAAAAAAAATAGTTAAAATTGTTTTTATGTTGTAAATAATTTAGTATGTTATGATAAATAAGTAATACTCTCTATATATAATAAATGTTACAAAATTAAAAATATATGAGAAAGGAATAATATAAAAGCTCCCTCAACATTATTTTAGAAATTATGCGTTAAGTCCAACGATAAGTATTATAAAATGACGCACTAGTATCTTTGTTTACTCATCATTATTTAAAAAAATAATGCTAAACGACACTAGTTGTGTAAACTGCTAAATTACAATTTGTGTATGAAGAATTTTGAAATATAAGTTTTTATAAAATTAAAAAATAAATTTTAATTTAGGAATCCGTTAAAAACTTACCAAATATATATATAATATTTATATTGTAAGTAATTGAGTGGGTTATGATAAAAAATCACTATATAGCTAATGAAATCAAACTTTAAAAACGGTAGTACAGTGTGATTGCAACATAGTAAGGACAAGTATAGGTGATATCTGACAATGATTAAAATCACTATCATAAGATACGCTTCGATGCAAATTTGTAGGTAGTGTTTAATTAATGGATTATTCCAAAAGCAATATGAACTCCTATTTTCTTAATTATATATTTATTAGTAGTATTTGAAAATATACTTGTTATAGTAATTAAATTTAGTATGTAATGGATATTCAATAATTTAATATTGTAATTTTTACGAAGAAAGGAATAAAATTCAAAAAGAATAAAGAAAAAAATGCTATTTATACGGACGGTGTTCGAACTTAGTACCCAATCGTGAAGGTCTTAAATTTTTACAACGCAATAACCACAATCTTAGAACTGCCAATTAGGAATAATGAAGGAAATAGGGGTAATTTTGCTTTTGGAATAATCCATCAATTTTTTAAAATTAAATACTATCTACAGATTTAACATCTTTTCTTATGATAGTGATTTTAATCACTGTCAGATATCATCTATACTTGTCTCGACTATATCACGTACACACTGTGCTACCGTTTCTTTTTATATTCATTTTGATAGTATTTTAAAAGGCAAAAAGTAATCACCAATGCTACTATAATTTCTTTATTAATTGTTTTGTAGTAATATATTACATGTTATTTATTATTTTTTTGTTAATAATAATCTACATTTCATAATGTTCTATTGTTCATTACATAATATTTTACACATTATTTATTACCTTATGTCTATTGTATTACTATTACATATTGCTTATTATTTCATGTTTTTTTTTTTTTAATTAATTAATATATGTTTTTTGTATAAAATTATATCGGTATTTTAACATTCAAAAGTATATATGTAGCATATTGTTACATATTTTAACACATGTCGTATTATTTAATTTATTAATTAAAATCTTAAATAATATATAGTTACAATAATGATATAATGTGTTTATCATAATATCCACCCCAATATTTTGGAAAGTTGTCCTCATAACTAAGGTTTAGTATGGTCAAAAAAAATTTTAGTGGTAATAAGGGTAAATTTTTTTTGATAAAAAAGTAATTGATTAATAGTATTTGTAAATAATATTGATTAATTGTTATAGAATTGAATAATAAATATTAGTTTATACTATAAGTCAAAAATTAATAACATCATAAAATAAATATAAATTTTAGATTTAAAAAAGTATAGAATGTGTAAAAATAATAGTATGATAATATTATTTTTTCTTTATAAAAAAAAAACAATATATACATAAAATTTACAGTAAGTTTTTTTGTTAACTTATTCGATTACATAACATAAATAGCGTTAAAAGAAAGTCACTCATTGGTAACACCTCGATTAGTTTTAGTTGAAGCTGTATACAAGTTGTAGTTTTATTGTTGTCGTTAATTTGTTAAGTCAATAGGTCTCGGTTCCATTTACATTTGAGTCTTCGTGGTGGGTAGTCAGGTATTAAAGTTGTGTACATTTTTTCAATTGAAGGGTTGGAATTTGTATTAAGTTTTAAGTAAAATCTAGTATAGTGTAAAATTGCAAGTTTTTTGGCAGTTTTGATGTTTAAATCTTTGTGTAGGTTATTAATTGTTAAATACCACGGAGTACCAGTTAACACTCGTAATGTTTTGGATAATTTAGCTAGTCCCCATATATGAATACCATAAGACCAGACTGATCTGATTATTGACTGATAAATAAGTAATTTTTATTCGAGAAGTAATTTAAAATTTAGTATTGGACGAAAGAGTTGAAGTCTGCTGTTGGCTTTTTTCCTTTTGTCTTTCAGGTGAGGTTCCCATGTCAGCCGTTTGTCCAAAATTATGCCTATGTACTTAGTTTCATTATGAGTAATAATTACTGTATTGTTTAATTTTATATCTGGGCATTTTTGAGATCTAAGGGCGGATGTTACATAACTTGACTTATTTGAATATATTTTATTTTCCAGTTCCTGAATCAAGATTTGATGATGTTGACGTGTGTTTGTA